CTTCTTGCTCACTAGCTTCTAAGAGGCTAATATTTAAAAAATAGACCTGGCTTTCAGCAGCTATGAAAGAACTATTAGATTTGATCTGTGTAGCTTCAGTAGGAGAGAAGTAGGAGCAAATAACAGGGATATCAATTTCAGGTCAATATAAGGAAGTGTTTTTTTTTTTTTTCTTAAATGGCAGTTGCTGATAAGAATGAGGCTGAGTTTCCCAGAGTGGTCATAATCTCCCCCCACTACTTGAAGTCTAGTAGACTCCACGGCCCTCTGTGGCTGTACTCGTCCTAAATAATGGATGCTGTTTCTGTGCTGCCAGTAATGGGATTAATTCCAAATGAATCCCTGCTTCTCTGAGTCCCTTACTCAGATTCAGTCTCCTACGTGGGACCATCTGATTTGCCGAGTGTATATCGCATGCCCTTGATCTGGCTTCCAGGAATCTGGGTGAGGAAATGTCTGCCCCTCGTCCACACAAAACAAAAGAGAAACAGTTGACCTTGAAAGTTCTTTCAAGTTGAAACAACTGTGTTTTGGTGCATCATCTTGTCATAGATTTAGATGTTACCTTATCACTGGTTTCACTGCAGGTAAAGATATTTTGACAAATGCCTTAGCTTTCATGATAACCGGAAGATAAGACTTCTTTTCCTTTCTCATCTGAAAAAACATCTTTAGTTATTCTGTCTTACAAAGTGTCTTATAACTACAACCATTAAAAGTTGAAGAGGGCATGTGTGGCAAATTGTAGGTGGTGCTGGGTGAAGGCCAGCTGTCCAACTTCTAAGCATCCTTAGTTATTGTTCGCTACCGTCAAGTAGGCCTCCGACTCATGGTGACCCCATGCACGACAGAATGAAATGCTTCCCAGCCCTGCATTATCCTTAGTCTGGAAGTTCCACTGAAACCTGCTCAGCATTATAGCAACACTCAAGCCTCCATTAACAGACAGGTGGTGGCTGTACATGTGGTACATTGGCCAGGAATTGACCCTGTGTCACCCGCATGGAAGGCGAGAATTCTACCACTGAACCATTAATGCCCCATAAGTGTCCTTAAAGTGTGGCATTATTCTGGGGGATTTATCTGCCTCTGGTCTTCAGTTTTGCACATCCCAAAAGACCATTTTTTCTGTGCTTCAGAATTTATCTTACTCATGGTGATTGACTTGTGCTCATTAAACTCACAAGATAAGTCAGAATTCTAATTAGTTAATTTATAATGAGAAATAAAAATTTCAGGCACACCAGACAGTCATGTCAGCATAATAAAAGCCTTCTCTCTGTGTAAGAAAACCATATGGGAAACCTCACTATAATCAGAATGTTGTTTGGTGTCTTTGGAATCAGAGCAAGGGGAGTTGGTTTATGATTACAATGATTAATGGCCTTAGACTCTGATTGCCTGATTTTAATAGTCAGGACTCTTTAGGTTGTAAGTGACAGAAACACAATTAAAATTAACTTCTACAAAAAAGGGGAGTTTATTAAAAGATACTGGAGTAATTCATGGAACTATGGGAAAGTCAGTGGAACAGCTGGGTTTCAGAGACAACTGGATCAGGACTAGAAAATCTCTAAGATTACCTTCCTGTTGGCTTTATTCTCTCCCTCTGAGAATAGGTTCTTCCCAATGGTAGGGGACATTACCTCCCATGGTTCCCATCACAGAAGAGTGACTGGCCCTCTCCCATTGGTTTCTGTTAAGAAAAGGAAGCCCCTAGGGGGCAGTCCCTGACCAGGCACAGGCCAGAGGCTGATATTTGAACCTATCAGCCATGGATAGGGATAGGAGTGGCAGAGGAGAGCGTCATGGCACAGACTTGCTCCTGGTGGTTCCAGATAATTAATTAAAGCCATTGTTGTCTGCCAATGAGTCCAACTGGTGCATTGACATTGATGTGCTCCAGCTCAGCTCCCAGAACCAGAGAGGTCTATGACCCAGAACACCTCTTCCCCAGGACCATGCCTAGAACAAATGCCTCCTTTGTCTTTCTGACCTCCTGCTTTCCTGAGTTGCACTGAAGGCCATTTCTCTTCTTATGCACATGTTCTTCCTTTGTATTCTTTATTCTGCTACAGCCTTAGACTGATGTCTACAAGGAAGATCCATGCTGATTTCCATATTGGTATTCTCAAAAGACCGTCTTACTTCATATTTGGGAAGTACATAATATACTCCCTATGTATCATTTAAAGATTGCTGCCCTGTTTTTCAGATTAAAAAAAAGGATGACAGAGAGTTTAAATAACTGACTGAACATTATCACTTAATATTATAAAAGTGTCCATGTTGTTGAGTAAGTAAAGAGATACCAGTGTTGATTTCTAAGGTCTGCCTGCCCAAAGTAACTCTCTGATATTTGACTGGGGTTCCTGATTATCACATCATTTGAGTCACAACTTTGGGTAAGAAAAGGGTAGGGAAGCAAGTTCATTGTCATCTATTGGCACTTAACCATATTTTTAAATTATGAAATATTTCCATTATATAAAATACTCCTCAAAAACCCATGTACTCATTACTCAGTAATAATTTGTTAATATTTTTATCATATTTGCTTCATATATTTTTAAAAGAAATGATACGTCCCAGATAGAATTGAGGTGTCCCTCAAGGTGTACTATAAGGTATCCTCTTTATTAAGTCATTTCATTTATGTCCCTCTCTCTGCATGAGAAGCCACAATTCTAAAGTTGATTGGTAGCCTTCCAACTCAACGTTTTATACTTTAACTATAAACAATATAACACTGTCTTAATTACTACAGCTTTATATAAGTCTTGATATCTGGTACAGTGAGTTTAACCATCTTGTTCTTCTCTTTCAAAGTTGCCTTGACTTTCCCTCGTCCTTTTTGGAATTTTATGAATATTAGGATCAGTTTGTCAAGCTCCATGAAACTCCTTCTTGGTATCTGGATTGGAAGCGCTTTAAATTTGTTAGATAGAATAATTGCTATCATCATATTGAGTCATTCCATCAGTCAATAAAGGAGTTCTTTTATGACCTTCAATAAAATTTCTCCATAAATTTATAATCTTCTCCATAAATGTCTTGCACATCTTCTGTTAGCTATATTCCAGAAAGGATCTTAGAGTTTTTGTTGCAATGATGAACGGGATTTTTTTCCCACTTTGGTTATATTTTCTAATTTCTTGTTGCTAGTGTATGCATATGCTACTAATTTTTTTTTTTTGTATACTGATCTTGTATCCAACAACCTTGCTGAATTTGCCTGTTAGTCCTATGATTTGTGGATTCTCTTAAAATTTTTAATGTAGACAATCATATCATCTGTAGACGGTGAAAATTTTGTTTCTTTCGTTTCAATTATAACTTAAGCTTCTTTTTTTCCTGTTTTTACTGCTTTTACTAGATCTCTAGTACATCTTTGAATAGAAATGGTGATGGAGGGCTTCTCTGTCTGGTTGGGAATGTTTCTAGGGAGGATTTTTGACTATCATTTACTGTTTGCTTCTTAGAGTAATGTTGCCTTTTTCTGTTCATTTTAAGTATGTTGGATTTTCCTAGACTAGCAGCAGTCATAGGTAATTGTGCAGAGGGAATAAGAAATTCGGGTAGTCCACTGTATAGCTTAGTTCAAGAGTGCCCTCTTATGTTGGAAAGTGAAGTTTACTTAATTAATGAGATGTAATTTTTTTTTTTTGGAGAGAGTTGTCTACTGATATTATATCATCTTATAGCACTAGGACCCTTAATTTCTTGTGCTTAATTCCTTATTTCTCTTTACCTTCCTATTGCCTCCCTCTTTCCCAGAAGCAGTGCCTTCCCAAGCACTGGTCCTACACACTTTTCCAAGCCTCTTTCTTGGAAAGCCAATGTTCAAATCCCCTAGTTCTCAGACTTGTTCTCGGTATTTCTCCATCAGGGAAGGATGCTGTCTTCCTGGGGTTGATGTCCTCTCTGTTCCATCCCCTCTAGGGACTTTCCACCTTCTTCTCTCTTTCATGTGATCCCCACTTGATGTGGGCTCTGGCTCTGATTGTTCTGAATTGTTCCTCCACCTACCTGTAAATTGGGGTTTGTAGTATTCTCTATCCCCTATTATGCTCTAGCATGGGTGATAGTGTGATTTTATTTGCTTTCTTGTTGATCTATGTGGTTTTTAGAGGATGTATGTAGAGATTTGGGTTTGAGGTAGTAAGTGGTCTAGGAATGTGTTACAATCTTCCTCTGTGACTGTGGATTTGCCATTTTTATCTTTGTGATTCTGTCTTTTTTTGTCTTATATATTATATATACGTTGTTGGGTTTATTATGATTGCGTGGAATCTATTAATCTTATTGGGAAGCACTGCCATCTTAACAAGATTTTCTCTTTGTCTTTGATTTTCTGAAATTTGAATATAATGTGCCTAGGTACAGATATTTTGGTATTTGTCCTGCTTTGTTTGCTTTGCCTTCCTGGATGTGTGATGGGGTGTCTTTCTTCCTTCATTTTTTTTTCCTTAGACTTCCGCTTTTGAGTTTGGCTATGTTTGTAGACATTTTGGGGGGATATATCTCAGCCAGCATTTCTGTGTGTTTAATAGGGTAGATAGGAGCTTGGGGGGAGGAGGGGAGGAGCTATGTAACCTTAGTCCACCAAAGTTATTCTCTATTATCTTTTCAGTTGTCATCTAGCAAAGAGGCTGGCATAGGGTCAAAACAGGTTTGAGAGGTGAAAAATGAGTAGTAAAGAAAACCTCCAAGGTCTGAGATGTAGAGCAACTGAACCCAGGGGGCTGAGACTTGGTAGCCACAAGTATTTTTAACATTAGATGCCTACAAGTGGTGCCGAATTGAAAGTAATTGAAGAAGATTCACCTTGCTGGTGGGTAACACGTAAACAGGATCTAGGACTGCTGTGGGGATTAAAAATTTGATCTGTTTTTAAATTTAAAAGGACCAGTCAGTCCTCAAGTGTTTTTATTTCATGTAAAGTATATACCTATAAAAATTGAAAACATCTTTCTCAAATACTGACTTATCTGTTTTAGGTATCCCTTGTCAACATACTCTGAAGACTATGTTCCACCGTATGCTTATCAGCCACTTGTGAGTATAAGAGGGCTGCAAAGCCATATTCTAATACTTATTTATGTACTTGAAATGCTTCTTTACATCTAATGTAAGTAGTCAAGCTCGGGAAGAAAGGAGAAACCGCTGAGATTTATTTTGTTTTATGTTTATTTAGAGCTATTAGCTGTTTGTGGCAGTCAGTAAAAATTTTTTATGGTTTTGATTTATTTTGGGAAGTTTATAGATTTCAGGGAGAAATTATTTCGGTTTCCAAAATGTATTGGTCATTTTCTTCCTCATCTTGTTTTATTGCCCCCCTCCCTGAATTTAATTCATCTAGAGTAAGAATCTACCTTTCTATTCATTCATATTGCACATAAAAGTAAGTGACTTAATGTAGCTCTGGGAAATGTGTATGCTGATTTAAAAATGTCCACTTTATAACTTGAATATATTTGTTCTTAAAAATGATGCAATAGGGACTAAACAAGGCTAGTTCTTGTTAGCTTTATTTTAGAAGTCTTAACCAGTAATATAGTACACATGAAATATAAGTATGAGCTTTAACTACTGAAAAGAAGAAAAGAGTCATCTTTGTTTTCAGATGGTATGATGATCTACTTAGGATAACCAATAACTGAAAAGTGATTAGAATGAATACAACCATTTAGTGAATTGATTGAATACAAAATACATATATCAAAGATACTAGTCAATAGTTTTCCTTCTTATCACCCCTATTCAATTAATAAACTACAAAAGAAAAAATATACAAATCACTACAGCAACACAAACTTAAAATACTTTCATGAGGAAAATTTTACCAAGATCAATAAAAGAAGATGAGGTAGTTTCTTTCCAAAGATGGCGGCCCACCCTGTTTATTCAGGTCATTCCCCTATCAAGAGGTGACTATTGCTCTGCCCCTTGGATCTGATCAGTAGAACATGGTAAAAGTGACTCTGTGCCAATTCTAGGCCTAGTTTTTAAAAAGAATGGTTCTGCCTCTCAGAGCCCTGAGCCACCATGTAAGAAATTCAGGCGCTTTGCTGGAGGGAGAGGCCATGGGGAAGAACACTGATGCGTTTGACTTGTGAGTGCAGCAGCCATCTTGGACATCCAGCCTAGTTGAGCCTGGATTCCAGCTGCCATCTGACTGTAACCACATGAGAGACCCAAGAAGGAGGTAATAGTAAATTGTTGTTTGAAGCCACCAAGTTTTTTGTTTTTTAATAAGCACCAAAATATAATTGAGACAGAAATCTCTAATAAAAGGGAATAGCTACCATTTTAGGGGATTGGAAACTAAACTAAATTTATGAATTTAACATAATTGCAATTATATTAAATTTTAAATTTAATAATGGATTTTGTTTTCTATCAGAATTCTAAGACTTTTAAGAATTATTTGAAAGAATAAGCATTTGAGAATAATCAGAAGTTTTTTGAAAAGGTGGCATAACCAATTTAGGGAAGTAAAAAATTTATGACACAACCTTTTTATATGTTATATTCTTATTTTTGTTTCTTATTTGATAAAGAATATACTTAATACATAAAGAACTCATACAAATTGGCAAGAAAAATGTTAATGACCCAATAGAGAAATGAAGAAAGGACATATATAGATAATTTACATAGTAGGAAATATAATTAACTAGTTAATTTACAACTTACAAATAATAAAAGATGTGAGTTAAAACAATAAGATATTTCTTTGCTGATAAAATTGGCAATATTAAAAAAATAATATTCAGTGCAGGGCATGGAGATGGGGTGAGATGGACAATTCATCTTTTGCTAGGAAGATTGTAAATTGTTATAATTTTTCTGGAGATGAATTTGGCAATATGTATGAAAATACTTTGTTGTTGTTAGATGCCGTCGACTCATAGTGACCCCATGTGACAGAGAAGAACTGCACCATAGAGTTTTCTAGGCTGTAGTTGATACGGGAGCAGTTCACCATGTCTTTCTCCGATAGAGCTGCTGGGTGGGTTCCAACCACCAACCTTTTGGTTAAATGCAGCCAAGCACTTAACCTTTTTGCCACCAGGGCTCCTTATGAAGATACTTAGCTGTGTCCATCCTCTTTGACCCAGTAATTCTCTTTCTAGGAAATTTCCCCAAAGAAAAATAATTCAAATTGGGGATAAAATTTATATGTGAATATACTCATTAGTGAATTGTTTATAGTGACGAAACTTAGAAAAGTACCTAAATGTTTCCTATTAGAAAAACCAAAAACCCATTGCCATCGAGTCGATTCCAACTCATAGCGACCCTATAGGACAGAGTAGAACTGCCCCATAGAGTTTCCAAGGAGCAGCTGCTGGATTTGAACTGCCCGCCTTTTGGTTAGCAGCCATAGCACTTAACCAATACACCACCAGGGTTTCCTTTCCTATTAGAAGTGTCAATTAAATACATTATAATCATAGGATGAGATATTATGCAGCCTTTAAAATATCCATAGACAGTTTTTAGAGTCTTGGTAAATATTCTTTTAAGGTTAAGAAGAACATTAAGATACAAAATTGCATGTATATTTTATCTAAACTGTGTAAAAATATAGAGAAAATTTGAAAATGAAGAAACTGCCAAAATACTAGTAAATTTAGCACTTAATGGTGGAATTCTAAGTGATTTTCTTCATCTTTACACTTCAGAATTTTGCAATGCAGCAAGCATGATTGTTTATAATCACAAAAACCACACGGAAACAAATACATTATTTAAAAATGCAATTCAGGACCATTTCCTTATCTACATGGGGTTGGGCTCTATCTCTAAAGAAAAGGAAGTTGCAAGATGCATAATTAAAAACACAAAATTCAAAGGACTAATTTCCCCATAGGCATAACTATAAAGAATGTGGAATGTATTCTCAGGGCCCATAAATTTTTAGCTATTGTGGTATAAACTTGTGCTTTTGCAGAGTTTTTAAATTTTTAAGCCTTATTTCTAGTACTTCTCCGGTTGCTTCTTTCTCCATTAAGAGCACAGCATACCATGGCAGTTGTTCGGTTTTATTTGCAGAGTTTTGTTCATCCACTTCCAACTTCCGTGCCAAAGTAATGATTTTGAGGCATGTTTTCAGCGCTGCCTCTAGAACTCCCGTTTAATAAATGCTTGCATTACATTGTTACAGGATGCAGAAAGTATTTTAAATCATCATAACAGTGGATGTTTAAATAACAGCAGAATAATAACTGAACTCTGACAGAGAAGTTACCATTCACGTCAACAAGTCTATGATTTCTGAATTCTGACAAAGCCAGGCAGATATTTGTTTACTTGCTGGAGACTTCATCATGTGGCCGTAGCATAAACACAGTTCAGCATTCACTCAGCCTACCGCCTTTGCAATTATACAATTCTTGATGAAATTTAAAAATATTTGGATTCATATTATTTTAATTAGTGTGTACAAATTGAGACTTTATTTTTAGATTATGGTCTTTTAGATTTGCTTAATTCAAATTTGCATAAAGTGGAACAGCATTATAGGAAGTCTAGAGATAATGTGGGTTCTCACACCATAGATCTAGCCATAGGTAAGAAAATACCAAGTATTAGGAAGCTATAAAGTCATTTCTAAGAAGAGAAATGAAAGAGAATTGCTTCTTCAGAAATCCACCTTTTAAGCTGAGTGCTTATTATGGTTCATTCCTATTTCAATTAAAGATACTCTCTTTTAAAAGCTTCCTTATTCTCCAAGTTGCAGAGAAGGTGTTAGAGGATTGGTCCAATGCTGGTTGGCTGTAGAGTATGTGAGCCCTTAAGACAAGAACAGTGAGCTGAAGATGATGGTGGAGACTTGACTGAGCACACTCAGGATGAGTAAGGAAGAAAATTAGTTCAGGCAGAGCCTAGTAAACTCAGAAAGTGGAAGGGCCAAGGGTATGAATATGATGATGAAAACAGAAGAACAAGTATGGCAGCAGTGAGGGAATGAGAGAGCTAAAAGAATAGGAGGTAAATCATCAAAGGGCTGTATTGGAATTTATTATCTTAGAGAGAGAACAATCCTGGAGAATGACAGAGTCATTCTCTGTCATGGGATTGAGTGACTAGAGTGGAATTAAAGTCATTGACTTGAGAAGGTGAAGGAACCGTAAGCCAGAGTGTTGGCTAGATCCTCAATATGGGTTTTGGAAATAAACCAGCCAGATGGCAGGCAGAAGGATGGGGCCAAAGACTGTGTGCCAGATGGCCAACCCCTCAGTGAACTTAGGGGAATGCTTTGGAGGCTGATGAGTCTTCCCAGCCATGGAGCTGCCACTTGGGTGCATCTCGTTTGTTAGAATCAAGTGTTAAGTGCCATTTTGCTTCCCTAAGTACAGCTGTCCATTGAATTATCTTTCCAGGCATATGAGTATCTCTAAACCAAAAAGGGTTGCATATCCTTGTTCATTCAGGGGTAGAAAGCGGAGGAAGTTTTTAAAAGAGAGGTATGTTTTAAAGGTGGCATGCATTCCAAATTGACCATAAGAAGTCCATGTTATGTTTCATAGTAGCTAAGAAAAGAGGCTGCATCTGCGTAACAGTGATTTCCAGCAATGGCAGGATTGTCTTGTCCTACCTGTGGGGCTGTATGTACTGGTACGGCCATAAAAAAACCAAACCAAACCCGTTGCTGTCAAGTGTATTCTGATTTATGGTGACCCCATGTGTGACAGAGTAGAACTGAGCTCTGTAGGGTTTTCTTGGCTATAATCTTTATAGAAAGCAGATCACCAGGACTTTCTTCCACGGTGCCTTTCGGTTAGCAGCTGAGGGAAAAGTGTTTGCCGCAACCAGGGACCTGGTACGGCTATTTGTTGTTGTTCTTAGTTGCCATAGCAGTTGTTAAATAGTGATACTTTCATGCCAGCTGGAAATTAGCTATGACCTTGAGAGCCCCCATCACCTGAGCAGTCCTAGCCCCTCTCCTAGAATCCCTGGACCCAGGGCCACATTATGACTTTTTTTTTTTAATTGTTTTATTGTATTTTAGATGAAGGTTTACAGAACAAATAGTTTCTCATTAAACA